GCTGATATACCACGTGGCTTCACATACAGTTTGTCCAACGTGCTGACGCCTCCAGTCCCGTCTGGCATGGAAAAGGTCTGAGCAAAGAGAGTGGCTTTGAATAAAGCTGTACAGTCCCACTCCTTGTAGGATTTGTTCAGAGTTGGTACTTTCTTCACTCCACCCTCTTTTGCAAGTAACAAGTTTAGTACCGTTACAGAGTCATCCCATTTTGGGACGCATGGTGAAGTAGCGACCCGGTTGTCCCACATGGAAACAAAGACTTGACGCAGGACAACAGGGAAGTCATCTAGCACAACAGTGGAAAACTTGAAAAAGTTCAGTTGTTCCGGAGAAAACGTCATTGTCAGGCGTCCGGAATGTCTCCAAGATCCTCCGTTAATGATACTGGGTGGCAAATTAAAATTTGACAAGGGTCTTTTGAAACAGTTCAGTTGAAGCTAAAAACAGAGCATCTGCAAAGGAAACACTTTTTTTTAAGAGATTTTGCATAGCGGCAAATTTCATTACGAGGTGACAACACCACTTACTGGATGTATGTTTTAATTCAGCTTTAATGCAATCTGAAAAGTGCTGTTGTTTGTTAATAATATTAGTGATCACCAGAAAATTAGAATTCTAGTACAATTTAGAATTTAAAAAAAGAACGCGTGATAACAGGTGTTATTATACATTGAACTCACTATCTCTTTTCTGATTGGCCGAAAGCGTACAGTGAATTTTCGAAATCAGCGCCTGTGACGTCATCTAGCTGCAGATCATACAATAATGTCAAGGACACTCAAGGTCACGGGTAATCAGGTCATGTCTGACCACGGTGCATGATTTCTAAGGGTAATCATGTCAAGTTCGAACGCTTTGTGTTACTTGCCATTAGTGAAGCAGCAAAAAATGACTTCCTTTTTTTTTCGTTCAATGTATAATAAAACAATTATTAGACTCGGTTTTTGTGATATCCAGAATAATCAAGGTCTGCTAATAATCAAGGTCTTGAAGGAGCTTACAATTGACAAAGCCAGATGTAAGCGTTTTGTCCCAAATACACGATTTGGTGTATCAAAATGTCTCAAGTTTTCCTAACATTTTCCAAAATCGGACACAGTAAGTATGAAGACACACTTTTCTTCACATTCCTTGCTATCTACGAGATATGACAACTTGTGGGGAGGCAAGGAGAATTTTAACTGCTGTGCTTTCCTTAGGCTGCGAGCTGGCTCTTCACGGGGAATACTTAGACCATTTTCGATATATTAAGATTCTATCTTGGCTCCGAGGCTTGGGGGAATGAAACAAAAGGAATCACATCGAGTTTAAGTGATGAATAATTAATTTATTTTATTTTATTCCCCCAAACCTCGGAGCCATGTTAGAATTTTAATATATCGAAAATGGCCTAATTGTCACGACAACTTTGCGGAGAGGAAAGCAATGAATATGAAATATTCTCTTCAGAAAGGAAATATAAAATCGGTGCCCTTCGTTTGCATTGTAATTAATAATTGTTATTCCGTGGGTTCGATTACGTTCAAGAAACTTCGAATGCGTTCCGAGGTGTAAAAGGGAATTACCCGAGTGTTTCAAATAGTGAAAGCGGAAGAGAAACTAAAACATTTTCTGAGAGGATTACTATGACAAAACCAGTGAGTTTCAGGACAAAAAAACTATAAAAGTGAAGTGACTGTACCTTCCTTAAGAAACCGTAGAATTTAAAACACTATTATACTTCGATTTTGACAGCGAAACATAGTATCTGGGCAGGGAAAATGGCGATCACTGCATGGTGTAAGAAGCGAGGCACAGGCAAAGATTCCAGTGCTCCTGCTTTCAAAACCCCTAAGTCTGCATTCATAAAATAATAACGGACTTAACAGCCTTCTCTCCTCAAAGAATAAGGCAATGATATACAATAAAACTCAAATTAAAACTATTATAAACTTGGTACAGCCTATTATGTTTACGTTCGATCTGGCTTATTTTCATGCGACGCGACGATCTTAATTATGCTGTATATTTACAAATGAATAAGCTTCAAATCGAAAGCAGCAGTCAGGTAAAAAAGAACAGAAAACGAGAAATAAATTGTGTTTTACCTACCGATTCACTAAGTACCTTCCGTCTCCACCGTATTTTGCCAGACATCGCGTGATCTCTGCACGATTGCACTCTTCCCCAGACCCCTAAACGCTGCACGGGTGCGCGAGGGAAGATTGGACGCACGCGCGAGGCGATCGCGCGCTCCGAGCTGGGTTGCCCCACGTCTCACACTGTGTATTATTGGGGAATTTAGAAATACTTCAATCTAGAAGTCCTCTCTCCACTAATTCTTTCCTGACTGCGAGGGATTAAGACAAGGTC